TATTTATTCATTTATTGACTTCTTTTTTTACTGGACCATAACCTCAAAACTCACAGAGGCTTTCTCCTTATTCTGACGGACGGATCCTCAGTACCTAAACAACATTACCAACGCATGGGAGGCAGTTCATAAATACTTGTCAAATGAATGAACAAAAACAATGAAATAAAGCTAGAGACAGAAATGGAACAAAAGCAAAAACAAAAGAGCCTAGAGAGAGTCTTTGCCAGAGTTTAAACATAAACACCATTGCTACTTTCAGGATCCACAAACATTGCTTTTTGCTTCTTTTTTTAAAAACACATTTTAGTACACTTTATTAGCAACAAGACAAAGTGGGAAATAGTTTATTCTTGACAAGACAAGGTGGAAAACAGTTTGTTCTTGAACTTTCCCCAAATCAGTGATTAGAAATTTTCCCTTTCTGTTACCCTCCTCAGCCTTCCATTCCACTCTACACCAGATTTGCTACAACCACATTTTCTTTCTCCAATTAAAAGGATGCTTCCTTTCTCTGATGGGAAAGTATCACATTGCACCGAGGTCCTTCTTGTCTCAGATTTGACCTGATTTCCTCATTTCTGCATTAAAAGCTTGCACGCCTCTGTGTACAGACGCAGTGAGACACAGAGCTAGCCTCTTAGAGGGCATCTTTGCATGGTTAGATAACAATTTGTACTTCTAAAACAGCTACAGAGGGCTTCAATACGTTGCAACAGAATACGTCATCATTCTGTGGGATCATAATCGTTGATTGGCGAGGAGGAGGAAACAAAATCTGACCTACCGAGGGTGGGATCATATTCCCAGATGAATCTTTTCGTCAGAAACCTCACCACAAGTGCTGTGGAAGAAAGGGAACAACATGTCAATCAAATTTGTTAATGTGCTAGCATTGTTATCTTTCTAAGGAAAGAGAAAAGGTCCATACAACTTCATGTGCAGTTAGTATTTCTTCAGAATATAAATCCAATAAAGTTAATAATGTTTACTTGGATATTTTTCCAATTTCACAGGTATAATGGTTTATTAGATTTATAATGCACTAATCAACAGCTTAGATTTGTTCCTTCAGTTACTGGGTTTAAAAAAATCACAACATGAAAATGCTCACATATAAAATTTTTACCAAAAATAGTGACTTTGAACACAGAATGTCACATTACAGGTGCCTAGAGTTTGAATACTGATGAGGATTGACAAAGGTGAGTTAAAAATGTGATAATGTTGATTGGAATGGAAAGAACACTAGCTGATACTTTACATTATGAACAGTAGATATACAACATTAAGGATTTTATTAAAAATTAGTGAAAGCTCACCAGGTAACACTGATGGGATTCTTACAGTCAGAGTCAAATTCTGGAACTGTGGGAGGCATTTTAATGAATGGTCACTTGAATTCTCCTCCCACCCCTGCGGGACAAGTACTATAGTCCCCTTTTCTTCTCTCCCTTCCCCTCCCCTCTGGCCTCCCCTTGCTCCCTTCTTCCTCCCCTCCCCCTCTCTTCCCCCTTCTTCATTCCCCCCTTCCCTCCCTTTCTTTTTCTTTTCCTTTCTTTTCTTTTCTTTTCTTTTCCTTTTTCCTTTCATTTCCTTTCTTTTTCTTTTCTTTTTTCTCTTCTTTTCTTTTTTTTCCAAATAAGAAAGCTGAAGTTTTGCAAGATTAACTGATTTAAGTGAGCCCATCTAGCAAGTTTTTGACAGTGTCAGGATTTGAGTCTAAGAAGTCTGTCTGTAGTGCCTGCAGTTTATGCATCGTACCAAGTATAAGTTCTGGGCCATCTAAATAATATTTCACTGGAGTTTGCACCAGAGAAAGAGAAGTGTTGAAACTTGTGGACCTTAAAATTTGGTGGAACATATGCGGACCATTTGCTTACACGTGTACTATAGTTGACAATAGTCAGCAGTGGTTTTTAATCTTAGGGAAATCTTTGAAGAGGGTATCATAGACACTTTAAAAATAGAATGAAATTATTGATTTTTTTTGCCTGGAAAAATGTGCATGCACACTAGTTAGCATATAGTGGCAGCAGCATCTGGAGCTCCCTACTGACCCTTGAAGGTATCCTCACTGTCCCACTGACCTTAACTAAATAATCATTATCTATTATGTTTTCTAATAAAAAAGCTATTAGTGGTTTTTATTTTTACTGAGACACTTTGATATAGTTGCCAAAAGATAATCGTTGAAGAAATAAAACTGGTTAGTTGAAGGTTACTGTCAGTCAATTATCACTTTCAGCTCCTACACCCATGTCTTATGAAAGACCCCAGTGCAAACTGCAAGGAGACCTTAGTAGGTCACACAGACACAGGCATCTGTGGCTTCACCCCGGTTACTAGAGACCGAAAATAGCAATGTTCTTTCTAATTACAGTGCATGAGGCTGGATTCAAGCCAAAGTATATACAAAGCCTGAAGCAGCAAGGCCGCCGACCCTATAATCCTTCCCACGGTGAGCACCCATGCAGTTGCAGCTACAGTTTCCAGTCAGTCACCATTCATGCTCCTGAGCTTGGGACTCTTTTTGCCTTGCATGTATGAACCATGTATGAATATCAGACAGATATTTTTCTCTTCCTTAAAAAATTATCAATGTTAGTAAACATAACTGCCCCTGGGATTCAAAGAATTCCATCTTTTTTAGAATGCCAAAAAGCATTTATCTGGCATCCTTAAGCAACGAGGTCTTAAAATTAAATTTTTTCTAGAACTGAATTTGATGCTCCCCAATGCGAAAACCATTTAAACTTTAATAATTTCTTAAAACTTTCACCCACTGCCTTTCAAAATCAAATATACTGAACATAATTGCATCATTTTTAATTGGTAGGTGTTTATGAGACATAATAATTGCATTTATCTTGGAGAACTGGTTCATATATATATCTCATATTTCTATCAACTTTACTTCGCCTTTCCCTCCTCACCTTCTCCTCTCCCACCATCTCCAGGACCTCTTACCACCTCTATAAAATCTACCCTCCTGTTTCTTACCATTTCTCTATTTTGCTTCTTAAGTTATTTACATAATTTAATCTGCCTCTTCCTAATAGGCAAAAATCACTTTTTAAACAATTTATCTAATGTGACATTTAACTTTCTATGCCTGATTTATTTCACATGACAGTATAGTCTCTAGAATTGCATCATTTGTAAATGTTTGGATCTTGCTGGATAAGAACCCATGATTCATGGTCTGTGCAGTTATGTAGCACTATTTTTTGAAGCCACAAAGTGAGTGTGGCAAAACAAATGTATAGTGTCAGAGTCTCTGACTTTTGAAAGTTTGTGAAGATGAGTTTTGTACAGATAAATATGTTTCTAACACATATAAAAGTATTTCTGACACATATCGGTCTTCTTTTGCTGTGATCACTGAAACTCCCCTTCACAATCCATCTATACATCAACTCTGTTACTTTTGTTATGCCAAAGGCTGATAAACCATATCAATAATCTTCGTACAATTTGTGAAATAGGGGAGGAAATTATTTCTGGGCTTAAACCTTAAGGAACTTCTTTTTTACTTTTTTTTTAATTTTATGGCAAAGAAGTAAAACGAAATTTCATGGAACCTCTTATATTGAAATAAACATGATCTGGTATTTGTTTTTGATAAGTTGTTCCTTCTGACTTCTGGGCTACTGGTTCAGTTTTCAGCTACACCAAATAACCTCGTTTCAGCAAATCAGTGGTGCTGGGGTTAATCCATGTAATCATCTAAACATTCTAAATGTTCTTTTAAGGAGACACACATAAATGCTCATTTTAACAATGGAATCATGGATTGGAAAATCAATCTATTCAAATGCATTAAAATACTTTGAAAAATTGACATTAGTTATATATTATTTGAAGATATGTTTTCATGTCTCAGGATAGCCATGGGAAAGACAAATGCATATATTTTTAGGTTTTCAATAATATTTTAGTTTAAAATTATTAAAGAATTTTTCCTCTGTCAACATGCTAAGCCTTTATTATTTAAATTGTGTCTAAATTGGGTAGATGACACTCATCATTTCCTGGTGAATTATAGAATGTCACCAGTCTTATTTGGGCCATGAGTTTTATTAAAATTTTATTACGGAATATGATTTTCATACGTGATATATCCTTCCACAGCTCACTTCCTCCACCCTGCGGCAGCCATTCCCTGGCTCCACATGTCAGTACTACTTTTGCTTCCTGCATGATGGGTCTGCTTCTCCTGAACCCCCACAGTACCCTTGATCAGCTCTCCACAAAGGAGCCAATGATTCTGTGGAAGCACAAACCATCTCCTGCCATGTATTTGTCCCAATTGGTCCCTGACCTCATGTTCTTCACCAAATACTTACCGAATGCCCACTCTGTGCTAGTTCTGTGCTAGGTGTTGCGAATAATCTAACTAACAATTCATACAGAGATCCCTGATGTTATAAGGCTTGTTTTCTACTAGGCAGAGGCAAATTAAAAATAGAAATAATAGCTAAATTATATAGTATGTAAAGGTAGTTAGTCCCTTGGGACTTAAAAAGAAAGGGCAGATTGGGCTGGGGATGTAGCCCAGTAGTAGAATACCTGCCTAGCATATGTGAGGACCTGGGTTCAACCTCCAGTACTGAAAAGCAAAAGAAAAAAGAAAAGAAAAGAAGGAAAGCAAGTAAGTAAGCAAGAGAGCAAGATAAGGGGGATTTGGCTTTGAAAGGCAAATTGTGAGAGCTGTTGTTTAAAATAAAGTGGCCAGCATAAGCCTCCTTTAGGAGATGGCATTTGAAAGGGAAGAGGGAAGACACCTGAGACAAGTGTTCCAGGCAGAGGGAATGGCAATGCCAAGGCTCTAAGGCAGGAATGTGTGCTTGGTATGCTTAAAGAACATCAATTAGGGAAGAGTGGCTAAAGCAACGTCAGCAACATTGAGTGTAATTAAAGATAGGCGATTTCCTGCCTCTGTCCTGCTGTGTACCCCTTAAACACCCTGCTAATACTACAATACTACCACTGGCTTATTACTACTTAATACTTATTCATACTACTACCACCACTACTAATAATAAGTTGGCTGACTTCCATATAGCATTAATATTGTTATTATTAATTGTGCATTATTTCTTTAGAATGCACATTTTATGAGTGCATGGAACCTGCTTTATTCAGTTTTGTGGTGTCTAAGCAGTTCCTGGCACGTGATAGACCAAGAAATATTTATTGGATACATGAAAAGATGTATCAGTCCATCTCATCAATTACTTGTCTTCAATAGCTAAATAATTAATCACACACTGAGAGAAGTAATTAAAAAAAAACCCAGGCTAGTTCAGCATAGAACCATGCCACCTTTCCAAAATTTTTCGCTTACAAAGATATATAAACATATCGTCTAAAATGCTTTATAATGGTTATTCAATTATCCTTACACAAATTATACACATTTTATCTGAATAGTTACTATAAAATTGATCTAATATGCTGGGAGAATTTTTTCTTTTGAAGTAAAATGGTGACATTTATAATCTTTACTTCTGCCAGAAGAAGTCTGATATAAAATCCTTTCCTCCTGAAGAGAAAGATTTGATCTATTTTGTTACTGACAGTTAATTTCTTACCCACTGCCTTAAAAAATCAGTACCTTTCCACTAAACAGGACAAACATGTCCAGTGGTTAACTTACAGAGGAACATTTTCCCCTTTTGTCTAATTCATAACTTTTTCATCATATGTGGTTCATTTTTAGTACTATTGGCACAAAAATTCAATGGTTATTAATGAAAGCTGGTTTCTAAAAAGAATGGAAAATTCAAAGTGAAGGAAATGTTTTAGAGCATTTAATGCAACCATTAAGTGGGATGATAT